CAACTGAGGCACGCACTGAGCTACACGATCAAGACGATGAATCGCGTTTAGAATCTACTTCATTGTTAGGATCGCATCTGCAGAGAAACAATTGTAATTCTGTACATTCCACCCAATATACCTTGATTCAACAGCTTGCACAATGCAAGCTTTAAAACATCTTTGACAGATGCCACAAGTCGATTCGCCGTCCAATAAACGTCAGGTAGCCTCCACAGAGGATGCCCTCATTACCAGTAAGGTCTACATCACTTGTTTGAAATATAATTCAGAGACCCTTTACCCAAGGACTGACTGACTGAGTTTGGTTTTCCGCCGTTTTTGCAATATTCCAGCATCATCACGGCGGGGGAAACCAGAAATGGGCTTCACACATTGTACCCATGTGGGGATTCGAACCCAGGTCTTCTGCGTGACGAGCCAACGCGTTAACCACTAGGCTACCCAACCGCCCCTTTACCCAAGGAAATATGCTGAGCAATTGTTTCGTTATTCTCGCTTGGAATTTAAACCGCTGACGATTTTGCGCCCATATACTTGATATTACCAGTCCTTTAATTCCCATCCCACGCAGGGCTCTAGTGTACATACATCGGGTCATTATCTTTTAAGCCTTGCAATAATCGTTACTACCAGCAATAACCACTACCTGTCACCGATACCAGTAGGGTTTGCATACAATTTATAATTGCTCATTGCGATATGTTCTGTAAGCCTATACATCGCTGTATGACTATTTACAAGGTTGACGGCAGTATTTGTATACAGACAAAGAATAAAGACTGAATTGTATTTCATTTGGGATGTATATTGATTCCAGACCGGACCGATGAAACATGCTAACGAGTCTGCCAGCTCAGATCTGATTTAGTATCACATGCTTACAGCATTCATCGATTGTCATATATCATACCATCCAATATCGTACTCTCGTTAGACAAGTATTGTTTAGACTGTCAGCAGGCTGAGAGGGTAATGGGTTTGGGGGATTTGAATCTGTTGATTTATTTTAAGTGTAAGGACGCACAGTGTATGTTAAGCTCAATAACAGTGTGAGAATACCAGTCAAGTTTGAAATGGAAAACTGGCGAGTTTGGTTCAAGCTGAGTATTTCTGTTACATCGCAACCAGTTTGGATAAAGAGACAATATTGACGCAGCGTGTTGACGACTATAATTACCACTTTGGCGAAACCAACACAGCACGGGTATAATATTTGTTACTTTGGTGTTTAACGCTGCACTCCAAACGATTCTCGTTAAGTTCGACCAGGCAACGCTCTAAGATGCCATATTCATGGTCTGGGCTTGTTGCAGCTTGGGCAAGGGTCATGAGTTGCTAACGAACTTAACCAGACCTGTACCACCTGTGCAACCGTTGGGGCTCTGTGGTGTTGAGACAAATACTTTCTGTATTCTTTAATGCATTAAATTCCGTAACTCATATCTGTCTTCATCGATGTTGTAAAATGTACACTGAGGCTCCATTACCAGATTTGATGACCATAGTGGACTCATATTTACGGAACACCGGTGAAAGGCCTTGACATTAGATACAAACATAAAACCACATCCTCGTATTTCTTCCAATAACTAATCTTCATCCAGTTGTAACTCAATACCAGCGAAGTAATTTTAAGAATAATCTTCGTGGTTGCACGACTCATATTACAGAATATAAGTTCCTAAAATGTCATGAAATAGTATGGAACGTTGGTGGAATGCCATCTTGGAACATCAATATACTGAAGACATAACGTGATTTACAATTATGACCCTGCAGCGTTTCCGTAGACTTGGATTCAGTGTTCTTGGAAAAGACACGATGTTACGCCGGTAGAACTAAGATTGCATCTGTGGTAAAGCTAGACTTGGAAGTGTATCCAATCGGTGAGCAGGCAACGGTCTGGTCATGCTAGGCAACGGCGTTACAGACCTGCAATCAATGTTGGCCATGTTTGAAGATGTGAGCACGGTTCAGGTGAAGCAGTTATTCAGGGCTACCATTAGCACAAGCTAGCAGGTAGCTGAATTCCTCCTGCTATGTGGCGTTGGTAAATGGTGGCAGGACTGAATGCTGCTTACACTCACTTGCTCAATCCGCTGCGATCGATGAGTAAATCTGATTATCCGCAGGGCAGGGATTACCAGTTCATTTATCGATCGTTAACATGCTTCTCAGCTTTACGACCGCAGATTTAATTCCGTCGCTGCCAAGCAAAATGTCCTTGTGTTTTGCAATGGGAAAATGGTCATCTTAAACAGTAGGGGCAGTACACGGCAGGTGGTGATGACGCCCACCTTGGATGAAATGGCTTTGATGCTTTTAATCGTCAGTTGGTCTGTGATGGTGGGGAGACGCATTTGTTTATTCGAGCTACAAATCGGGTTGATATCACAGATAGACTTGTTGTCTGTCGGAACCAACCGACCATTATGTGGACGATCGAAGCTCGTTACACTACGTATACTTCACTGGCACGAATTGTTTTAGATCGTGACCGATTAGTCGACATGGCACGTGCTTGTAGAGACGCCCAGCTGTATTAGGGGAGTAAATCCTGTGCTAATGATAGGAGCACTTAGTCATATAAAATATGGTCAAATGGCGAATTAGCCAAGATCAAGAGTCCCCTGATATAATGATGGTAATGCGTTGATAATAACGTTGATTAACGTTTTGGGTGTGTCTGAACTGTCCCCATTACAGCTGTACAGCTTCAGCTCTGGATCCGTTGAACCAAAGACTGCATTCACGGAGTTTCCGGGTTATTACCTCGGGTGCAGTTGGGCACGTAAATTAGAAAATACCAAGTCAATCAGATGTTGGAAATCTAAAGTTTGTACTTAAGTAACTATTGTAATGAACATGAACCACATCTTGAATATGCTTGTGAATTGTGGGATGGTTGTTCGGTAGATTTAACCGATAAAATTGAAAAAGTTCAGTTTGAGGCCGCCAGGATAGTTACTGGTTTACCAAAATATGCTACTAGAGATACTCTGATATATGAAACAGGTTGGCAAATGTTAAAAGAAAGAAGAAGATGTCGTAAACTGTCTTTATTCTATATTATCTACAACAAAAATGCTCCATCCTACCTTTGTGATCTTATGCCTCAAACTGTTGAATCTAGGACAAATCATAATCTTAGAAACATTCGTGATCTTTCCCTGTACTCTTCCCGCACAAATCTCTACAGTCAATCATTTTTCCCATCATCTGCACAACTTTGGAATAATCTCCCTTTATATGTTAGAGAATGAGTTTCCCTTAAAAGTTTTAAATCGCATATCAGCTCGCGTAAGTCAAAAGCACCAGGATATTTCTCATTTGGTAATAGAAAACTCAATGGAAAAAAAATACCCAGCTAAGATATTCAAATAGTAGATTAAATGGTGATCTATATAGGATCGGTCTCACAGAGAACCCCGAATGTAATTGTAAATTTACCTGTGAAAATTCTCAACATTATTTTATGGAATGTTCTTTGTATTCTGTTATCAGACAGGAAATGTTTCAAAATATTAGCAGAATTTGTAACATTAAAGCACCAACAAACCTAGACGTACTATTAAATGGCAGTGCAGATCTTCCGTATAGTGACAATATTCAAATTTTTAAAGAAGTTCAAAAATATATATCAAATTCCAAAAGGTTCAGTGATTGGATATAATGTGTATGATCTAAATAATTCATGTATTCATTGTATTGTATATATCATTTTGTATATATCTTTCTATCCATGTACATATAGTTTGTTTCACCTTTGCATGTAAGCACTGTAAATAGGAAAGGATTTCACTAAGTTGGCATAACTTGTACGCAATCCATTCTCTTGAATAAATATGTTTAAATCAAATGAACATGAAAGACGATTATCTTTATTGTGTTAGATATTTCGAAAGAAAACAAATATGTCAGAATATCCCAAAAGTTAATGAGCGACAAAAATAATTAAATGCATTTTCGTATGTGAGACGCCAGCTTGTTATACCCGTTACCCTGCAGCGTTCGACAACGAACAGAAACTGGAAGAGGCGTATGAAAGTGTCGTGTAGTCAGATTTATTGTTATCCCGGAAGATCCGGGTTAGAGTTGATCTGCAGCATCCTATGCTTGTCGTATAAGGCGACAAACGGAATCGAGTTTGCTGACTTGTCTGATGGTGAGGCGAGGTGAGTTGAGGTGAGGTGAGGTGAGGTGAAATGGGGTTTAACGTCGCACGTAAGATTTTATCGTTCATATGACGACGTGCATGCGTGTGTATGTGTGGCTGCTTGTACTAGCCCAGACTTAAGCTGGTTATATAGTGCTTGCTCACTGAGATACTAAGCCGCAGGTAAGCATGAATACCCCACTCAGACACAACATACTGACTCCTAGCCGACCAGTCCTTGTTACACCCATTAATGCCGAGCGCCAGGCAGGGAAGAACAAGTACAATATTTTAACGTCTTTTGGTATGACGCGGCGTGGGATCGAACCCGCGACATTCCACTCTCCGGGCGGACGCTCTAACCACTACACCACGGAGACGGTCCTCAGCTGATGGAATTCATCGTATCCTAGATGCACAGGTCGATGTTCATGATGTCATTCACTGGCTTTTCTGGTCCAGACTCGATTATATACAGACCTCCGTCATTTACTGGAACAGTGCTGCGTGCGGCGTTGAATAACAATTAAACATATTGTTCGATTAAATGCATGTTACCGCACATCGACAGCTTCACACTACTATCTATGATATAATACCGACAATTAATAATATCGACAATTGTATGTCTGGTCTAGATTCGACCTTAATACATAGCTGGACTGTTGCTGACTAGTGGCGAATACATTAATCACCCAGCTAACAACGCAACATCTCCTCCCCCCCCCCTCCCCAACACACATAAACACACTGCGCGTACCTCCACCTAGCTCCCTCCAACCCCTCCGAAAGTAAAGGTAAAACATGACGCACCAGTTCTCTGAGACACGGGATCATTTCCTTCCGTCTGTGTTAGCACTGTCGGTTTCGCTCTCGCCTTCGAAGCAAATCCATACCATCGAGTAGATCCAAGTACTACAATCAATGCCATTCCGGTCTTTAATAGAATCAACATTAGTCAATCTATACAGAATCTCCAGCCACTTATCGCGGATTTGGCAACTACAATAACATCAGCAATTGTGTATTTAATTAGGGGACCGACAAGAGAGCTCATCACGTCTACCTACGGCAGATAATGCCATAACGCCGGGACGATTCATCCCTTTTACTGACCTTTCACAAGCGTAATTCTGACATTCAATTGTCGGCGGATGACCAAGAGAGTTTTTGTTCCAAGTCCCTCTGTGCCTGCTCCTGTCTTTCTTTCTGCCTGGTTTTATGCCTAAATAATCTGGTCAAACACCCAACTCGAAAGACTGATTCTCTGAAGATCGATAAAGGTTTTGCCAGAAGGAAAAAATCGAGTTTCCTCTTCAAATTCCATTTGTTGTGAGTATGACTTTGTACCCAGAGGTAGCGAAAGCCAGCCGGCGACGTATGGTTCCTGTACGGTTTCCAACAATCCTTGCTCTCGTTCAACTGGATTAAAGTTTAATCTCGTCACGTGCACAGACAGATGATGCAAAGTGAAATATGGGAAGCGATCCCAGGTGACAGAGGAGGTTGTGTGAAACATTGATCTGTACAGCAAGCCCAAGCATGGATCTCAAGAAGCGCTGTTTCATGAACGTCGGCAGATTAGCATTTGAGAAGAGATTGCCATTTAGCCCAGGAATCCTCGAAACGGGAAACATCCTCTGCCCTGGTTGCTGCTCGCCATACTGCCAGTAGAAGCCAGGCAATCAATGGTTGAGCGCGTCATCTGACGGGATCTCAAACACAGCTCTGACAGGCTCGGCAGACTCCGCTATGTACTGTGGCCATCTACAACATATACAGAGAGATTGTAGCTTGACGTATACCGTCACCACCAGACCCGCGCAGAACGAATACACTTGTCACATCCTGCCTTGATTGAGTGACTGACTGCGGCGCGAGCACCAAGCAACTCACATATCGACATCCCTGTGAATCAAGTGCTGTACTGAAATCGGGATATTTATTTCGATACCTGGTGTGTTATGTTTGAGACTCCGAAGAAAACATACAACAGGATGTCTTAGAAGAATGATGGGGATCACCCTGTACAATTGTAGACAATCCCAGAGTTCTCAATGCACCTGTGTCGTTGCCAGTTCTGTTGATATGCACTCTATCTATTATATCATTCATGATCAGTGAAGCAAAGCATGCCTTTATTGAACACCGCGACGAATCCCCAAAGGTATGTCTTCCTCTACAAAGGAATACATGGATGATTCACTTACCGTTACCAGCGCAAACAAATAACACGTTTACCAACCTGGCAGTCGTACCAAGGTAAGATATAGACCCGCTTTATCACGCAACTCTACTAGTGTGACCGTCGGAATTAAGGCCAACCTGTGTCAAAGAAGACGTATTTTCTGTCGTTCTATACTATGTTGTGAGACTCGGACCTGGTATTGATCGTGTTGTGTCAACGTGTTTCGGGGCTCTAGTGATCACCAGTATGGATTCCAAACACTGCTGGTTAGATAGAATACCATAGTGCAGTTGGCAGCAGAATCCTGCGTGGTTATCCGTTATGGTTGCAGAGGTGTAGTGGACACCCAGTTCTTGAAGGCATTCTACGATATAGATTCGTCTTTTAGGGGCATCGTCTCAGTTCAGCAAAATAAATGGGATTACCTATTTCGACTACATGTGAAATTCAAATCATAAAGCAGGATATTGGACCGTCTTAGATGTAAATGTACGTGTGTGTTGAACTATGATTCACATACGTGACCTCCACATGCATGTCAAACGACAGCCCATCTCTGCTTTGGAACGTGACTATAACATGTGAGTAGCAACAGTTCTACCTTTGTCCACTGATATATGTGTATGTCATAGTATACTACTCTGTTGGCTGATATTTTCGCCGTGCCTGGACTCACGCAATCAGCGAGCACCTTGTAAAAGTATTGATTTTACGGTAACGTATTTGAAAAAGGGAAATGTGTTGATTTAGACTTTGACATTAATGTGTATAGCTTACAGGGTACCATTACAAGTGATCGTTACTCATTAACCGTGTATAAGCTGAGGGATGTCGGGTAACTGCGGCGCGGTTGTTGAAATGAAAGTTTAATGTCGAGTTGTTTGAAAGACACTTGAATTTACCTTCACATAGTTAGGAGTGAGCACATTAGATGTTTACCAGTTCATTTCAGCTTTTTGACAATCAATCCCAGAATAAACTTTCATGATTATACTTTCTGAAGAATTGATTCAATTGTCACAAAGTGACCTTTCTGCGTGGTTAAGGATAAAGGATTCTTAAATACAATATAATTCCAGATAATGCTTTCCTTTACTGAAAGGTAAATCTGATTAATTCACAGGAAAGCTTTTTTTCTGTTATTGTTATTCATGGAAAATGTCGTGCTTCAGTGAATAGCATCCGCCCATTAAGCGTTAACTCGTTTGGTTTCAGAGTACACACAAGGCTGAGACAGTAATTTGAAGAAGGTCTTGATTACTAGAGCAAATCCATCCTTGAATCAGGAAGCAAGGGTTAATTTCATCTTCAGGATTACTACAGAAAACGGAGTTATTACATTAAGATGCTGCGCTGGAGAAGGAAACGTGACGATATTGATAGTACAATGACAAGAAACAGTAAAACGAAGTGTGGACGGGAGAAGGGATTGTGGATTCATCTCGACCTTTTCCTTGTGCGCTGAAATGCCAATGTGCTCATTTAAGTGTGTTTAACAGCTTAAGCCCGCTAATTCGTATTCAGCTGGAGATTTCTATTTCAGTTTTTGTGGTTCTGTCACGTGTGTTATTAGCTCTTGTGCGAGTTATCTTGCGTTCGTGAATCGTTTTAACGACAAAGACCATCAGGATGATGGACCAAGAGGACAAGGTGGAGATGGAAGAACCATCATCCATCACACGCTACCATCATCTAATAATCAGAAACAAACACATCCTCTCTGAAATCAAACTATCTGTCGTCATCGTCATCGGCAGTATAGTCATTATCGCGTGTTTGGTGTATATTGTTATACAGTGTAGGACAAAAGGCAACCCTAATCGTACCATGAAAAATAGACGAGCTGATGACGAGGAAGAACTGTTCGATTCTTCCGACACCACCGAGCAGCTTCTTCCACAACCGCCAGATAACGCCATTAGACTGAAGGTTCGACGTGAACCGGAGTTCTATGTGTGAATGCAGCAGCGTGTTTCGAAGGTGTAGATATTTCAGGGTATTTGCTGAGAAACTGCAATTTATGTGTGCATTCCTATGGAAGGTGATGCAAGGATCTTTTTGGAGTGAGTACTGGTGTTCACTCTGTGGATCACTGGTGTTCATTCTTTGTGTACAGCGTTCACTGGAGCCTGTAAAGATGGAGAGGATATTTAACACATCTGTGAATTAAATACTTGGGAATATGACAGGAGAGTGCTTTCCCAGCTTGAATTTGCAACGTCTTTCTTGCAACACAATTGCATAAGAGATGAATTACATAGCCATTTAAGATAATGTACCAAGTCACTTAGTCACAATGGGTATTTTAGCTTTGGGTAGAAACATGCGGATGGTAAATGCGTGATTCAGTGATTATTTGTAAGCATGGCCAGTTTTTGCACTTTTGGAAATCCTTTTACTTTTCCCTTATAACTTGCTATTACTGATGCTTGATCATTGTTTATACGTTCTACTTCGTTTCGAATATGATGCATACCGTTTACTTGAAACAGCCTTGTTTTTATGACTACTTCTAAAAACACCAATTTTGTTTTATTACAGGTGTCGACTTACTTTTAGTAGTATCTCATTTAAGCATGATCAAATAAAGGTTAAATTTTAAATTAAATATGGTGACATTTATATAAAGTAGAGCTCAAAATACGTATTAGAAAATGACCTTTTCAACGTATACCAGTTACCGCCCAGCAAAACCTGCTTCAGCACCAAAACCACTGCCAGAAATATATACTAATTTTGTTTGCAAGGTTAAATTGAGGGAAGGTGCATGATGGTTCGATTACCTCTGTAGATATTGAGGCTGGTTATCGTTGAGTGTAACATTCGTCTCTTACAAACCGTTATGAGTTTTGAGTTGAGCTGTGTTATATCATCGATAGCATACCTCATCATTCAAACCACATGAGGCTTAAGCCAGTTTTACTATGACCATACAAAAGAAAAGAAATCGTTGGTGAGATTAGCAGTTGTTAGTGAAAAGGTATACAGGTTTCATGTCACAAAAACTGATGTTTTCAGTTGGTTGCGGTGCGATATAAGGGTTATCAACAAAACACCTTTCTACAAAATGTTATGCTTGGTAAAAACTAGTCAGAGATATACTCGTTTCCAGTTTGCAACTACCAATGACAAAAAGACACATGGCATGCTTTTGAAGCCGAAACGACCACAGTTGAAGTGTAGAAATACCGTTGACCTAACAGTAACGCAGGATGTGCAAGTCACATTTCAGTATCTGTTCTGCTCTACCCAGTACAAAACGTTAAGGAATCATTGTTAATAATCAGAAATGCGCCACACACGACATAACATCAGTCTATTGCTTCCCACTGGTAAGCAAAAGAAAGAAGTGATTACTCATAGATACTACTTTATCGGTGATGTGGTCCAAAGAATACTGACTGTGTCGACGTCGGTTAAATACCCCCTGTCAGAGATTAGTATGGAGTTTTCCCCAAATTTGGTCTTATAACCAATGTATCACGTTACATTATAGCTTACTGAATCAGGTCAAAACAGAAGCACTTGAAACTACGGCCACTGTTTAGTGTTTTGTGATCAAAACGTGGGAGCGCCGTATTTGCTATGTTAGCGGAACGCAAAGGCACACGTGATTTTATTTAAATGTCTGCGAAATATCTTCATCATCACTTCTATGCAATCATTTCTAGCACAAAGGGGGTTCATTCCCTACAAGTGACAGACAGGTCTGTTTATGGTTATTTTATGTTTGAATCTAGATATTAAATTCGACGGACAGGATTTTATTTATTTATTTATTTATTTATTTATTTATTTATTTATTTATTTATTTATTTATATTATTTATTTATTTATTTATTTATTTAATGGGACGTTTATTTTTCGTTACTTGTTTTTTGTAGTTCTTTGTGTTGTGTTTTCAGGGGGATGGGTTTTGTAAGAGATTCACAATTATGGATTATGGGAGAGTCCGAAAATTAATTAAATGTATACTTTTCTTTCTTCATGTTTTGTGAGTTGGTCTGGTTTAACGTCGCTTTTGGCATTATTCCAGCAATATAAAGGCGGAGGACATCATACGCTTCACACAGTGTGCGCATTTGGGGAATCAAACCACGCGAATTGGACAGAACAACCTTACGCTTAAACCGCTTGCTAACTCACCATCCCTATAAAATGCGACATATTCTTAATTCTCACGATTGTAAAATATATTCGTTTGTACATATTCACTCAATATTTTCAATCTACAATGAAACCCATTTTATCCAGAACTTCCGAACGATTATTTTATGTAAATAGAAACATATCGTTTTCACAATGTCCCTTTATCCATACGTTCGTTTATCCGGACAATACCATTTGGAATGGTAGAGTCTAGAATAACAGGGGATCTCTGTGTTGATATGTATATTTTAGGTCACACAATTTGAGGACTACTTTCGTCCTCACTGTCCATGTTTTAATACACGTGTTAGGTTAAGGAAGTTTAACTATTCTTAGAAGCGAAAGAGAGAATAAAAAGTGAGTTTTTATGTAACTCAATTTTGAAAGAACTGTTTATAGATTGAACATATTAACTAATTCAATGAAGACTGGGGTATGCAATGAGTTTGCAACTAAATGGTCCCTGTCATATTTGATACGTTATAAATGCTGATTCAGAGGTCATTACATGGTAATATCACCAAGAAAGATATTTCTGTCACTAACGAAAATATTATCACCAACAAAAACATGTTCAACTGAAAGTCAACCATATTAGACTGAGATGTGTAGTTTCTTTTGCTCTTCAGTATATTTCCATTTACAGTAAGTTTTCATGAACCCGGCACTGTAAGCTGTGTGCATCGAAGTAATCTAGCCTACCCATTACATGCCAGGCACGGTCGAAAAACAGAATTATTTGAAGCTTTGTCGGCTTACCCACAATCGAACAGTCGCGTATTCGTTCGTCGGTACAAGAGGGGTACGCACATTCAGCAGATGAAAGAAATTGAACTATTTGAATTGTTTAATAATTTGAGTATTTCTGGTTCTGATATGTTAGGAAGTGTTTGTCTTGCAGTCATACAGACAGATACAGGATGTCCTTGAATTTGGTTATTCTGTTTAGTCGTGTTTGTAATCATTTTCTTGAATAGAAATTACTTCAACACTTTAGAATACACCGAGGCAATTGCCTGATAAAAGGCACAGACAGCCAATGATCGAAATACAGTTGAACCTCCCAAGTCCATTGTTGATAACCAGTATGATTACTAAAAACATTTCCTTTAGCCGCATACGTTCATAGTTCTTACAGTATCAATCAAACAAAATTTCCACTTAACTAACATCAGTATTATTTAGCTCAGGGTGCCGTTGTACAAAGCGATCTCAGCGCTAAGGTGACCGTAACTCCCATACATTGACATAGACTAAAGGTAGCCTTAGCGCTTAGGTTGTTTTGTACAACGGCACCCAGGTTCGCCTTGATTGCGAGTCTAGGTCAGCACCATTCTCATTATTAAAGATTTCGCCAAAGTGGTAAACGTCTTTCATAACTCCGGGCTGTCCTTCCTTATCAAACTGTCACGCTGTAATATGACTGAAATACTGTTCAGATCGGTGTTAAACCAGCCCCAACCACTCAGTATTATTATGTGGATAATGTAAAGGATAGGTTGTACAACTGTGGTACTAGGAGCACAAATCGGATTAACGTGAACAAGAACTTAATCATGGCTCTCGGTGCAAATGTTTCTCGAACGGAATATTTATTTATTTTCAACAGTGAATTGGCTTTATGAACGATCTCAGCATGTTTCCCGAATGAAATACATCACATTTTGGATAGTCTTATAAAGCTGTAGCCACTACCCAACATAGTGCATACTGTCTTTTGCTTCAGTTCTGACGTTTGGTGTCTGTCCCTTGAACTCAAGACAACCAGCTGTAAGTATTCTTAACATGTATTCAGGGTATATGTTCATTTTTGGTTGAAGAACTGTCATTGTATAAAATATATACATACTATATTAGTCGTGCACAACTCTCGTGAACTGCTGAAATGTAGACAACGGTTAAATACAGCCACCATGATTGCGTCAACGACGCGAACAGTTCGCGTCCTGATCGTGATGCAAGGAATGTATACCTTCAAAACAAGGTCACCTCGATCGCATCTTAGTCGAAAAATAGTCGCGTCGTGACGGCCAAATACAGCCACCATGACTGCGTCAACGACGCGAACTGTTTGCGTCCTGATCGTGATGCAAGGAATGTATACCTTCAAAACAAAGTCACCTCGATCGCATCGTAGTCGTAAAATAGTCGCGTCGTGACAGCAATCGAGGGGGCTTAGGTTTGAACAGTACTGTACATGTTGTCGACATCCGACCAAATCTCAATTCAACGTGTTTCCACATCGACTATTCAGCATGCCCAATCCTCGTATATCCAGTATTTACAAAATGACTCGAAGGGCGTCCCAGACACCCAAAGCGAAAACCCAGGATTACGTTAGACATATGGCTGACATGAGCAGGAGTTGCCCATTCATCGGAAACAGCTGCAGAATTGTCCTGGTGAGAGAATTCGCTTCAGTGTTACCATAAACAATATCCATACTTGACTTACATTGTGACCACCCGATCGCCATTCTTCTTCAGACACAATGATTAGTTATTGTGTATCCCGCCCTATATTGTCGTCTTGCGTGCGTATGGGTGTTGAGTAAAACACCTGCTGACCAGAGTGGCTGGAAAATATTTATAAGTTCATGATTTTTTAATGAAAGAGTAGGAATGCACAAAGACTTATTGATTTGGTGAAAGAATATCGTGGGCTCAACTCCTACGTATGTCTATCGGTTTAGATGACCTTATAATGGTTTATCATAAAATTATATATTTCGCCGTGCTGACTAGTTGCCTTGATGATTGTGCGATTATTTAAAATGTTAACCGAAGTCACGAATTTTGAAGCATTAATTATTTAATTTTCATTTTGGTATTGATAGATGTGTTTTTGTACGTCCTTCATTTGACAATTAGAAAAATAGGACTACGTTAATATAGTTGCAAGTACCGCCAGCTTGCTTTATGGAGGTTTAAATCACCAGCTAATCTGTCATATCAAGTTGCATTTTCCAGTTTCAGGGAGTTAACTACCGAAGTCTTTTGTCCAAAGAAGTTGACTAACAATCAAAGTCAAGTTTCCAAGGCAGGTGACTGACTATAAAACTACAGCTACCACGGGAGTTAACTCCCTTGCCTGGAAAGACAATTACTGTTCACCAATATCTGGGTACTTCTTTTGTTCTATAAAATTGTGTATGTGTCATCGAAATATGCTGATTAAGTGGCACAGATACCTGTAAGCATTTTATGTACGTTCGTGTTAAACATGTATGACATTTTGTGCTTGTATTGATTCAAAACTGTGTGAGAAGATGTTGGGTGGTACTTAATGGAATGTTTATATATGCAACTCTTAATACCTCAGCTTCCCAGCACGGTTGCAACTTCGAATCATTGAATGTGATTTTTGTTTTGTTTTTCACACATTTCACTCACTCAGTTATCTCCCCTTTAGTGAAACTACCGTTGCTCACGTGACCTGGCAGTCCAGTTATTTCTAGTGTAATATTCATCAGGGGAGATAACCGTTGTATACTGTACACCTGTATATTTTACCACACTCGACATTTTTTCTATTTACATTGCTTAAGACTTTTTCTGATCTTCTGATACTCATATGCCTTACTACAGCTGAATAAAAGCATGAATTTAACCAAAAATGGTTTTACGCTTCCAATAAAACCTCATTTCAACCTGATTCTACATTTGTGTCCTGTTTTATGCATTGATGTGGTCATTAGCGGCCTAATTGTCCAAGGCGCGGAATTCCGCGCCTTGAGCATGACAAATAACTAAAATCGTGGGTTCGAATGCTGTCTTTTCTCAGCTTGTCAGCACCATACCCGTGTTCGTATATTTGACCAAAGTCGGAAAAGTCTGAGAAATTCATAGTGTCGGGATTTCCTCCCACATTAAGCAGACGCGCCGTGATATAGTTTTAATATTGTTTAAACTAGCGATAAAACCCGACTCACTATCATTGTTATAAGTAACCATACAATCCTCTATACGTAGCTAAGGTAAGTTAGATACAAGTATTTATCATCCAAAACTGTGTTCCACAGCAGATATTACTTGTGTGAGATCAGACGATATCTCCTAAGAGATATCGTTTTGAGAGTAGACTTTGCACAATGCCCTGACAATGCTATGACGTCATGAACTTGATGACGTCACATTGCTATGACATCGCTGCACTGCGAGTCTAGTGGCAGTACTGTGTTCAGACATGTACATTTTTCTTTGAAAGCTAATATATTAACACTCGTTGATAAAAGTAAAAATATCATCGGCAAGCCTCGAATATTTGTTACTTTATCAACTCGTGGTGATATATTTGATATCAAAAGACAGTCGTGTGAGATTCTCTATATAATACATATGATGATTCAGTACGTTACTATTCCAGGTTGGATTGTGGACTGAACTAAAGATTAAGGCAAAAATGTTTAACCTGGGCTTAAGCTAAGGCAGGCCTCTTTGTTCGGTTTTGCGAACACACCTTCAGCTATTCGTGTTACAGAAATGTCATCAAGTGT